ACCGATCGGCTCCTCTGAGAGCTAAGGGAAGACCCTGGCAGTAAATGAATACAGCTGTTCCTATAATTATTGTCCTTTTATTTTAAAGTCGCTTTCGTTCTACTCTGATCAGGCCATTACAGAAGTGTGTGGGCGTTCGGCCATCTTGTGGGCTACAGTTCACACAGCTACAGTGTCCTGGTTTGGTGATATTACATCTGTTTCAAACTTTACCATGTTAGTTTTTAGTTAGCGTATGCATTTTTAGTTAGTGTAGTGGAATTTCACTGCCCCTTCAAGCGTATGTGACAAGACTACTTGAAACCTAAATGGAGTTCTTCTAGGAGATGCATGCAGAGATGTTGGAGATGCGTGGTCCTTGTATTTGACATTTTACCGTTGATGTTTCTTCAGGCAGTAGGGAGTCTTGTTCTGCAGTAACCGGCATCATGAACATCTTCATGGCAGAATGGACAGAGGGTCCCTGGATGCCAAATTTTACTCTTATGTCTCCAATCAATCAAAGGCAGCGACTGTTTACGAGGCGTCAGACGGTGTGGATACAAGCAGTTGCAGGGATGCTTGATTTTTTACCAGTCACTCAGCGTTGTGGTGTCCGTAAGGGTCTCCCCAGGCCACGTGTTCAGCATTGCTCTTTGAGAGGGGAGCCTTTGATAACCGAACTCGCCAGATACCTAGAATGAGGTGTCCGGTCGTGTCTTGCTGTCCCCAGTAGGGGGCAGCGGTCAGCTGAATTCATCATCATGCTGTGGCTTGTAATAATGCTGACATCAGGAGAGGAGAGGCATGGATGGTGAGGAGGATTTGGCTGTACAGATGAGCGCGGGAAAATGATATGCTTTCCAATCTCCAAATATGGGGGCCTTCAGGGAATGCTCATCAATATTCATTTTGGGAGGAGAAGAATACTTCAATCACACACCCCAGTCCCACCTGCTTCTGATGGTCATGTGACCAGTGGACAATGACAGCCGAGTTGTCCGCTGCCCCCTGTCCTATGTCCCTTGGCTGCCCTCACCCCAAGACAGGCCCGGCGCTGGGGTCTAGCTGAGTAAGTGTCCCAGTCAGTTGCGGCGAATCACTGCCAGGAGGACGTAGACGTTCACGCTTTGCATGATGGGAATCTTTTCATTGTTCTGCATTTTACCCTCTAATTCAAGAGACAAAATGCTCCACATAAACACATATTTTTAATTAATTAAGAGTCAGTCAATGTACAGCTGGGACTAGATAAAACCTCCATAGCTGGGCCACCTGGAGGGCATAACCAGATACCTGTGGGGGGGTGGGGACCCCCCAGACAGATTGAGAGGGCATGCTCTCTTATCTTCCAGTGAGCACATGGAGGATTATTTTCCAAACCAGATCCCAGAGAGGATAAAGTTCAGTGTCACTCTCTGCCTCATGTTCCTAAAAGTAAACTCTAAAACGCAGCAGAAATCCCTCATAGGACAGAATCATTGTCTTAGTAAATACATGCTGTGGCTATTGGATTGTTTCTTGAAGCTGACCAATCCCAGCACAGAGAGAGGACAGGTATGATACACTGCTGTCTGGGTGATGTGTCCACCCCAGCTATGAAAGCATAAAGCATATGAGTGGGATTTCAGGTGTAAACGTCACAAACGACAGTGCGCTCTCTCGGCCTAAACAGATCACACCACGGTCCGTATGGGCAGCATGAAAAGAGGGAGGGAGGGAAAGGAAGAGCTTAGGGTTAGCAGCTTTCTGTGCGTGAGCGGCGATATGTGACCGGCTGATTTATCACAAGCAAAAGCAGCCAGAAAGTACAATTTCCGACCTGGCCGCAAACAATAATTCATCGCAGTGTCGCTGCCGGATAAAAGACCTTTAGCATGGGGGCTGCACTGTCGCCATGGCGATGAATGTCGGCCTGCGGCAGGTAGCTGCTTCACAAACCGAGACGGGCCGCGACCCGATAAACTTCAGACGGACTCCACCATGTTCTGAGCTGCTGACGCGCAGCACGACGTGGTAACGGTTTGGGGTCTCCAGTAAGCTTGGCCCACGCCCAGCCGTGTTCTAAGATGGGCCTTGACCCAATAAACACCAAGTTTGCGCCACCACATTATGAATCACTGACTCGCATCATGGCGTGTTAATGGTCAGGCAAGCCGGGACCATGCCCAGCCATGTCCTGAAAAGGGCTGCAACCCCATAAATGCCAGGCAGGCACCACCACGTTCCGAATCGCTGACTCGCATCATTCCGTGTTAACGGTCAGAGGTCCCCGGCGAGCCCGGCTCTGTTTAACTGCTTAATTTTTTATGGCACAAATGCAGCGATGCAGCTCGTGTGATTTATTAGTTTACAGGAGCTTCCACCTCTGGCGAGGTGCACAAACTGCAAACGCGCATGATTTATGGTCGGAGGAAGCTGCCTTGTGCCACCGTTCATGTCTCAATGAAAGAATAAATAATTGGATAATCTGAAATCTTATCAGTGACATCTGCATTGTCAGGCCGACATCGAAAGGCTATAAATTACATCCGTTCCCAAAAAATGATGCGCGATTGAATAAACATGTGGGAAGACGCAGATGCTGACACGTGGGAACGCTGCTTCGGAAGCGGGAATGTCAAGGAGAAAAATCGTGTACGTACATCCGTCAGTCCAGCCGTCCTCGGCAATCGCTTATCCAAAGCTGGGTCACAGTGAACCTGGAGTCTCTTTGATAAAGCAGGGGCATGAGGCAGGGGCTTCTCTGGATGGGGGAACAAGGCGCAGGGTACATATATAATCATGTGCTAAGGGAGGGTTAGAAAGCCCTGTTCACTTAAGGTTCAATGGAACCCACCACTCTACAGGTGTGCCCCCCCCCCCCCCCCAATTTGTGATTATTGTAACCCCCAAATAGGGAATGGGAATACATATGTGTTTGGGACCAGTCCGTCACTGCTGCAGACACTTTTCTTGTTAAGACAATAACTCAAATACCATTTGATGGATGGATCTTTTTCAAACTTTACTGAGGCTTTCTGTGCGTGACGAACTGGAAGTGATTAAATTTTGAGACGGATCACCCCAAAACTGTAGCAGTACCGCATATACTGTAGTGATAACGAAGAGAACGGCAGCACAGACACCAGATATTGTCAGCATGATAACACAAAATTATTTGTCAGATCTTTTCCAATCTTTGCAGACAAATTGTATTGGTGAAGATCTGGACCTCCTCTAATTTTGAGACAAATCTCACCAAAATTGAAGTAGTGGTGCTTAGTGACAGCAAAGACAAGAGTAACTATATAACAGGTTTAACCTTGTGAACAGGGTAACATTTGTTATTATTACTCTGCTTACTTTGTTTGATCTTTCGTGGATCTTATTACCACTTTACAAAATCATTTTGTGGATGAAAATCTACACCTGAAAATCTAGATCAGCCAGAACCCAAATCACCCCAAAACTGGAACTGCAATGACACTGGGCAGTTGTGAAAATGGAGCCTGCTGCCACCATCTTGTAAACACAGCCATCTGCTACCTAAACGTATTCCGTGGATCTTTTGGCAAACTTCCTAGAAACGTTGTACAGGTCAGTGGTTCTGAAACTGTGGGGTGCGAAATGATTTTCTGAATATTCTATAATAAAGTTTATGTTGTTTTTTTTTTTCATTTCTAACCACCCAGAAAATTTTGACAAATTTTATCGGTAGCAGTCCCGTAGCCAGTCGGCAAAATGTATCGTGGGGAACTTGCAAAAATTATCCTGGAGCAATTTAATCATGTTACATTTTTTTGGAGGATTGGGGAAATTGGGTACATGTACAAGAATTTCCTCCCCCTGGATCAGTCTTAGTCTTATTTTTGTCAAAATTGACCCCCCCCCCCATTCAGCTAAATTTATAGTAGTGGAATTTAATCGTGCCATTTAGCCCAAGTCGGTGCGTGAAAGAACAGCAGGTCTGCTGAACCTACTTACATTAAGACAAGTCACACAAAGTGGTTTGGGCACCGATTAAAGTGTCTGACCCTGCATTCACACCCCTAGCTTTGCTCTGTATGTGTGTGTGTGTGTGTGTGTGTGTGAGAGAGAGAGAGAGAGCGAGCGAGTGAGCGATTAACCACATGTAACCATTCCAAATGTGAATTTAGCCAACAGGTAACATTAGGTCACATGTTCACCAGTATACCTTGTCGTTTAGTGTTCAAAACATTGGTATGCCCTAGTAATACCAAGAGTAAAAAAGGCAGGAGTTAAAAATACTTTGATTTGTAAATACTGTTCTCATTGATTGAAGCGAATTCCGCGTTTATCCTCCAGTAAGAACATTATTTTTTTGTTCAGTTTTTTTTTTTAGTTTCTTTTGTCCATTAAAAAAGTACAGGAGAACACATTTGAAATGAGAGACATATTACCCATTATTATAAAGATATGGACTCAGAGTTGTATGCAAATATTGGTTATTACCATGCGCAGTATTAAGAATTAGATGACTGTAACGCCTAATTTCCAGAATAGAATTGGTTGAATCTTTGTTTGGACAAGTGCCAGGTCTATCAGACTAAGACCAGACTGGATTGGGAGACATGCAGTATTACAAAGATTTGAGAAAATAGATTTACTATCATAAAACCCTTAGTATTTGCTCACTACACTCTAGCTTCTGGCTTTGTGGTCACATTTTCTTTAGGCCAGAACACAAATAACAAAAACATTAAATGTAATTAAATGAAAAATTAATTTGAGAGCTTAATATAGCAAATTGAGAGCACAAAAAAATAAATTGCGTGCACATTTTAGGGATTTTGTGAGCTCGATTTAGTATTTTATGGGAACGTTAAACGAAATTGTGCACACAATTTAGTACATCATGCCCACGTACCCCAGCTGACCAACTTCTAGAGATTGTAGAGGATGGGGAGTGTGGGAGTAAGCGTTGGATGGACAGGGCAGACCACAGGGCTGTCCGGGGATACAGTGCTGTACAAGGCCCAGCACGGTCTCACCACACCGCCTTATTCTTTGGTGAACAGAGTCACGGGAATACCGAGAGCGTGTGCAGGCCGTCAAGAAGCTGGTGAAGCAGCTGCCAGTGCCCAACCACCACACCATGGAGGCGCTCTTCAGACACTTCCAAAGGTAAGTACCGGTGGGTGGGTGGATGGATGGATGGACACCATGATGTACTGTAGGGGTGACAGAGAGATACATGTTCTTTGTTGTGTTTTTTTTTCCTGAATATGCTGTTAGCCAGGGAGTCAACATTATTGAAAGGGGTTCCATGTTACTGAAAGATCAATAACCCAGACTATATAATGTCTGCATATAAATGAAGTATGTGTGTGTTAGGTCAGTGTTTGCAGGTATGTGTGTATTAGGTCAGTGTATGCAGGTATATGTGTGTGTATTAGGTCGGTATTTGCAGATGTGTGGGTATTAGATCAGTATCTGCAGGTACATGTGTGTGTATTAGGTCAGTATTTGCAGGTGTGTGTGGGTATTAGGTCAGTATTTGCAGGTTATTGTGTGTGTATGAGGTCAGTATTTGCAGGTACCAGCAGCAGTTCACCAGCAGGAATGTCACGTCACTTTACCACGAACCCCATACAACGTGCTGCCGCTTCTGCTGTGCCGTCGTGAGCCATCGGGCCGAGCCCTTGTTGTGTTTGTCTATAGTGTTTATCTCTGCATCTGCAGATTATGAAAAAGCTCATTAGCTCTTTGAACTTCAAGTCTTTGAAGCAACTGTTCGGAGATTTTCACCACTTTATTCCAGTTCCCTTCCCAGCACTTTCAAAGTCAGCAGTGTGACTTTTACAGGACTGTTCAGCTTTGAGACTTAAAGTGTTGAGACTTAATCTCAGTTACCAGTTCTCACCGAAGTGTAAAACAATCTCTGCAGTCAGCTGAGTCTGCATGGAGGTTGCAGGGATCTCCAGACTATCGCTGATTCAATCATGGAGCAACTCTTTAAAACCAGCCTTCACTTGGGGGGGGGGCAATGCTCAAAGTGCTAATTATCTCCCAGTGAAAATTCCCTGCTGCTTGGAAGGTACACTGATCAGCAATTTAACCTCAAAAGCCCAGAAACCCTATCTAAGAACATGGCCGCTACAGGTGACATATGACAGAGGGCAGGCAGGGACAGAAGGGCAGGGCAATGCCCACCCACAGCCGGGCAGGAGAGGCCTGAGATGCCCAGACAGCAGTGCCGGTCGAAGCCCATTTGGCTCCACCTTAGGTGAGCTTCACTGCTCTGCATGCTCCTCTACATGCTTGCTAAGTCGGCACCGTGTCAGAAGATGGCGCCATAGGTGGCAGCTTATGTTGTCTACTTAGTTGACCCATACTGACACCCAGTCCAGTGGTCACAACTCAGGACAAGCCAATGGGACCACCGGGGGGAATCACATGGTCACCAAGCAAGCCTTTCCATTGGGTTTTGAGGTTACTAAGGGTAATGTGGAAGACAATGGTGCACTTATCATGGTTATATTATACTCTTCCAACAAATGGACCTAATAATTAATCCAAATGCTTCACAGGATTAAGGCCGTTTTATCATAATTCACCGGTTATTGATGGCTAGACCGCTTCTAATAAATAATCTATACCGGCCGCTCATCGACATTCTACCCCCTTATATTGCTGCAATAAAATCTTTGTAAAGCTACTGCAACAAGATATTTTATAAACTAAAACCCACATCCCGAAACGGATGTGTACAGGAATCACTGCAATGCTGAAAGATCAAGGACTCGTAATGTTAGATCAATAAGGCCCCTAATTCTGCGTGGGGATTACACGCTTCCCCAACTTTACGAATCCTGCCCGAGGCTGTTCTGACTTACTGTACGATTCAGTCCTGGGTCCTGGTTCATTTTCTTCACTTTTCCCGGCAGTGCTAGTAATGTTGGTCATTTTTAGTTTCTGTCATTATTGCCACCGTTACTGCTGCTGCTGTTGTTGTTGTTTCTCCTCTGAGTGATTTGGCTCGCTGAATTTTGCCAAGGCCATATTGTGTACCAAAGTTTTGAATTATTAATTATGCTTGTAATAAAGCACATGCGTTATTCATTACCGCAGTGAACATAAACCCCCGTCGCTGCGTGACGGACACAGCAGATCCTTTGCTAATGATACGTTTCTGGAGCTACTACTGGAGGGAGAAAAAAAACTGTTTTATTTTGTGGTTGATCGTGGCGCTGTGCGACATACATGCGCCTGAATAGGTCTTTGTTTGCTGTTTCTGTTTGTGTAACAGCAGTTTTACTACAAGTAACTAAATTCCCCATAGAGCAGTGCTATGAACTCTGAGTTTAAAAGTTACGCGAAGCCCTTTCATTGTATTATGATTCTTTTGTACAGTTTCTGCAGTGCTCTCGAGCAAGGCTGCACCACCCTGGAGTCTTGCTGCGTTTAGAGAATACAGTTTAATTAGCGCCTAACTTACACCTGAAACACTTGGCGAAGTGACTTACTATCCAAATAATTATTTCAATAAAACAATTAAGTGGCTGAGGTTGAGCAAAAATTAGCACAGGCGCCCCCCCGGAGACCTTGAGTTTGCGCCTCTACCGGAGGGATGTGGGTGGCAGTGGTTGGGGGGGGGCTTACAGATGTGGCTGTCCTGCAAACGTGCGCGCACCGCTATAATCCTAAAATACCCCATGAATCCGTCGCCAGCTTGGCGCCTGCGTTTTCCCGCTGCTCTACTGGGGACCTGTTAAGACCACGTAGAATCCACAGGATCCCGCCAAAAATCCACGTTTGCTTTCATCCAGTGTTCCAGCTTATTTCTGGGCCATCAGTGGGGCCTAGAACGTCCCAGGGGTGATGGATGGAGGGCATCGCCAATCACCGTCTCCATGAAGGCCCATTCTTCTCATAATTAGCCCATGAAAGGGACATTGAGTTCCCGCAGCGGTACCGCAAGGTCTGGGGCCCGAAGACGCCGCTTCCGGAAGCATCCGCGGAGCTGCCTGCCTTTGGCGACGGCCTGGGAGGGGGGTGACAGGTCATTACGGGGCGCGGAGAAGGAGCAGTCCTGGGCTGCAGCTCATTATAATCAATAGGGGTGTTGCGAACGGGCGAGGTGGCCGCCGGAGTGACGCGTGGCCCGCTGCGATGGAGACGGTGCTAATTAAGTGAGAGAGAGAGTTTAAGGTAGCGAAGAAGACAAAACACGGTGCAGAAGACGTGGGGCCTCTAATTGACGTGTGACATTTACATGCGAAAGGCTCACAACTGCGATATATAGATACATATAATAGGACAGACAGACAGGATTCATTCATTCATTCTGTTTCAATTCATTCATTTTCAATTCATATCCACAGATAATAAATATTCCATTCAGGCAAGTAACTCCCTACTCTTTCCCCATGAATTCCGTGGGTCCAATCCCTTTCCGTGTGTGATCTTGCCTTCTGCTGTCGGCTGAGTGATCTGAGAGTGAATGCCCTGGTCATGCGGCAGGGCGCCAGAGTGGCCTGAGGTCAGAGCCCCATCCTGCAAGAGCGCGAGGGCATGGTGCCGTGCAGATCCTTCAGAGCAGAGCTGGCCCAGTCCAGCCCGGCCGGGTCCTGCTTTGGCAGGTCGCGCGGGCCATGTGGCTGTCCCCGCCTCTCGGGACAGATTTCCATCTCTCGGCATCATCCTTACGCCCTGCGACGGGGGTCTGACCGCCTCCCGCATGGCACGGCGTCCCCACCGGTGTGAAGCGCGCATTCTGCCGCCGTCTCCTGAGTTCCCGTCCGTGCCAGCTCTGTCATCAGCCAGACCGCTAACTCTCGGCGGCTCGGACAGCACCTGCTGTCCCCTACCCGCGCCGTGACGTCACCGTGAGCCGCGGTTGCTCATGGGGACGTGACGATCTGGCCCGGCCAACGAGCAAACATCTCCGGGTGCCAGAGGGCTGGCTGACCCGAAGTGGACCCACTCCCTTGCTGTGCCTCGCCACCTGATGAAAGCACTCGCGTTAGCGTCTCCATGTCTGAACCATGCGAGTGAAAATAACAAAATAAAGAGCAGCGGCATGTATGACAAGAGAGTGCCAGGCGAAGGCCGCGCGGCTGCGGGTACCACACCCATACCTACTGATGTGGTGCGACTCCTCTCGCTCTCTCTCCCTGTCTCCCCCTCTTCACAGGCACCTAATTAAGGAACCCTGACTCATTTACATGGATATCTTTGATCTAAATTACACTCCAAACCGCACCAAATTAGGATCATCTGTGAATGTGAAATGTTTTTTCCCCCACGTCCTGAGCGAGGAGCCAGGTCTGGAGGGCACATGTTCAAATGATGAGAGGGATTAGCGATTTTAAAGTTCTCCCGAGACCTGCAACCCCGCCCCCTTTCCCCCACCCCCCAGACAGGGGGAGGATCTTGGACAGTTATCCCAGGATCCTTTATTTTATTGTCTGCAGCCCTCCTGTACTTTATACATGAATTATGACAAACTTCTGAAGTCATCTGCAAGTTGGACCAGCGTTCAGTTCCCGACCCACTGGAGCGCGTGGCTGTCCTGCTTGTGCATTTTCGGTGTTATTCAGTCCTCCTGGCCCAAGGTGTCGCCACTGCCCCCATGTCTTGCAATTAAAAGGACATTCTAAGTGGTTAATTATCTGTCTCATCGTGCCATTTAGCTGACTAATGAACAAAGGAAAAAACACAAATACCTGTGTTTCAAGCTGCGTCGTTACATCTGTTAGTAATTATATGTTTTTTAGAGTATTTGAGTTTCTTAGGTTAAACAGCCCCAGTGATTTGAGAATTCTTTTAAGTATCTGGAGAGTTCATTATCACATTTCACATGCCTAACTATTACCAAGTGAACAATGTTTTAATAACATCAAAACCTGTACTACCTTTTCCATTAAAAACAAGTCAATTCTACAGTAATCATCACCAAAAGCAGAGGATGAGGTACCACTTGAGAATGGAGTAAACAGCAGTAATTAAATGTGATACAGCGCTTAGTCAGTGAGTTACAACAGTTTGTGAGCCGGTGTTGCAAACACACAAACACGCACACTCTCTTGAAAATCTTGCTTTGGTTTTGGCTTAAAAAGCCACCAGTGGCCCTTAAGAGCGACACTCTGGTGTGGGATGCCTCGCTGTCCAGTTTTAACCGA